AGATGTCAAAGTCCTGTGTGGGCAAAGAAGGCACAACAGGACGCCTGGGAGATAACCCAGGTAAGGAGAGGAAGGAGGTGGAACAGCATGAACGGCAAAGGAGCAGGACCATCTACAGGTGGTGAAGGAACGGTCAGGAAGAAGTAGGGGGTGGAAGAAGAAGTAAGGGGAGGAGCAAGAAGAAGGCTGATGCTGCACGCTCCTGTGGGAGAATGAATGGTTTTTGACAGAGCTCATTGGGCAAGGGATGCAGTGAGGGTGTGTTGGGGGAGTCTGAGCTCAGTTACAAGGTGGGGAATCTGACAGTGTGTGTTTATGGTGCCACTGGGCTTCCCGAGGACATCTGGAAGGGAGGTTGTGAGAGAGGGAAGGGGAAGAGCAGAGCAGTGCCCTTGGGAATGACCTACCTCATCATCTCTCACTGGGACTCTTCACCCCCTCCAGTCTCTCCCCTTTAATCCAGCCTTCACAAGAGCTGCCAGGTGCTCCTTCTAAATCACAACTCTAATCCTGTCTCTCACCAACCTTATAAACCTTTCAGGGGTTGCCAAGGCCCTCAAGGTAAAGTTCCTGCTCTTTAATCTGGCGCGCAAGACCCTTTCGGAAGGACCTCCCATGTCATCTGCTGCCCTCCTCCCCACCTATCTCATCCTAAATCACCACAAAGCAGAACTATTACACCTCTATGGGCACCATGATGCATCAGGCCTCTGAGCCTTCGCGCATGCTATTCCCTCTGCCTGAAATGCCATTTTCATCTTGCATCTCCTCCTTAGGGAAGCCTTCTTTGACTCTATCCAGGAGTCTTAATCATGCCTTCCTTTGTGCCATCACTCTACCTCCTCTACCTCGTTTTACGAGTCTGCCACCCCACTAGACCACGAGCTCCCTAGGAAGACAGACAGTGTGTCATTTCATTTCTCTATCCATCACTGCCAGCCTAGCACCTGGGATACAGGAGCACTTGGTTAATATTTAATGAATGAAAAGACAAAATTATAGCTAATAATAACAGGAACTAACTATGTACTAGGTGCTTACTATAATTCCTAGCGCTGTGTTAAGCTCTCTAAATGCATTATTTTATATTATTCCCCTAAGAGAACCTTGGAGGAGCCCTGGTGGTGTAGTGGTTAAGAGCTACGGCTGCTAACCAAAAAGCTGACAGTTCAAATCCACCGGCTGCTCCTTGGAAACCCTATGGGGCAGTTCTACTCTGTCCCATAGGGTCGCTATGAGTCAGAATCGACTTGATGGCAATGGGTTTTGGTTTACGGGTTAAGAATCTTGGTGAGGGGTAGGTATATTACTATACCCATTTTATAGATGAGGAAACTGAGGCTTGGAAACGTGAAGTGACTTGCCCAAGGACATTAAGTTAGTCAGTGGTAGACACAGGCTTTGAATTCAGACAGGGGTAACTCCAGAGTCCATGCACTTAGAGACTATTCTATATTGCCTCCATGAAAGAGAGAATGACAAGATCTCAAGGGACAACAGGGTCACTGAGACTACGGTTGTCAAGGAAGTCTGGTAAATTGACAGTAAAAGGTGAGCTTTTCCTGAAGTATCAGTGACAATCACAGTCACTATTGGCTGCCCACCCAACAGCCCATTTTCCCTCCTTCAGTGCTGGCACAATGGTTAAGCACTTGGCTGCTAACTGAATGGTTGGCTGCTCGAACCCACGCAGCAGCTCCATAGGAGAAAGACCTGGCAATCTACTTTCATAAAGATTACAGCCTAGGAAGCTCTATGGGGCAGTTCTGCTCTGTCACATCAGGTCAGGTCGCTATGAGTAGGAATCAACTTGATGGCCTCTAACAAGTGCTGACAGAGTTCTGCTTTTGTCTGTGAACCGTACCCCAAGTAATTCAGGTAAATCCTGACTCTTCTAAACTAATCTTTGTGGCGCCTTGTCTGTGATTGGTTCATTGTGGGCACGTGACCCAATTAACTCTTAAAAAGAGGTTGCTGGACTTGTTCCTAGACTTAGTGGATAAGGATGTATGCCTGGAGCTGCTGCAGCTCTCTTGGGATCATGAGGGCAGCAGCCAATACACTGAAGATAGTAGAATGAGAAGACAGGAAAGAACCTGGCTCTTGATGGGATTGTTGAGCTGCTAGATCATTCCTACCTCAGCCCTTCTTGATACATGAGATAATAAATCACCTTATTGTCCAAGCCATTTTGAGTTGGCCTTCTATAAGTTGTAGCTGAAGGCATCCTGGTACAGTGACAATGTATATGGTAGAATAGTTCTTGCCTGGTAAACAGCAGTATGAAGTATGAGGAACTTTGCAAATCTCTAAGAGCTGCTACCCTGACCTTGGCCCACTGACCTTGGGTTTTCTAATGAGAATGATGATCTTGGTCTGGGTGAGTGGTAACAGTGACTTAGACATCATTTAAATAAGTCTGCAGGACCTAAAAAGGTACAGCCCTGGCCCCCTGGGTGTTCAGTTCACCGAACTTTGATTAAGCATGTTCTTGATGGTGGGGGCCATGCTGGATGCTGGGGCCATAAGGATGAATCAGACACAGTCCCTGCCTTTAGGGAGCTCGCTCACACCACAGTGTGGGAGATGATCCAAGGTCAGGGATGAGTGATATACAGGTTTACACAGGTCTGGAAGTTGACCTGTGAGGTGGCTGGGAAAAGCTTCATGTGGATGATTTGAAGGATGATTAGTGAAAGGTCAGAGAAAAGGGCATTTTTATGTAGAATTCGAGGAGCCTAAATGGTGCAAGTGGTTTGCAATCAGCTGCTAACCTGAAGGTTGGCTGTTTGAAACCACGCAGCAGCTCCACAGAAGAAAGTCCTGGTGAACTGCTTCTGTAAAGATTACAACCGAGAAAACTTAACGGAGCAGTTCTACTCTGTAACACATGGAGTCTCTATGAGTTGGGGCCTACTTGATGACAGCTAACACCATCAACAACAGCGGAATGAATGGCATATGCAAACTCAGCGCAACTCAGCTCTTCCGGGGAAACTAGCAGTTGTTTGGTATAACCATAACTGGGCTAGCCGCTCATAGGTCATGCGTCTCTGAGCAATTCACTTGACCTCTCTGAGGCTCAGAATTTACATTTATAAACTAAAGACAGAGGAAAAGAATGAAAAACTAATAAAACGGTTATGAAATTATGTACAATGTATGCAGAGTGCCTAGCACAGGGCTGGGCATATATTAGGTGCACAAGTAATGCTCTTTATTATTTACCCATTATCGTCACATGGTTCTAATTCATTATCTGCTCTGACCCAGGTGGCTTTCTTCCCTTTCACACTCATTCCTGAGCCTAGTAGCGAGGCCCTCCAACTCCCACAGACTTTTCCTCAGGCAGGAAACCCGAGCCCACTGCCTGACCTAAGACAGCTTCTGGGGCTGGGTGGTTTGTGTTATTCCTTCTTCTCTCTCTCTCTCCCTCTTTTTTCCTAAATGCAACAAAATAAAACCAAACAAAAAGCCCAACGCCTGGCGTGGCTTGTCAGGGAGTTATGCAAGTGTGTAAAAAAATAAAATAAAATAAACATTGAGTTTTCGGCATTTCGGGCTGTTTGATTAGGCACGGAGCAGAGCCAGGGGCCGGTGAGACACAGGGAAGGTTGGGGCAGAGGGAAGAGAGAAGGGGCTGGAAAGGGGGCTGCAGGGGGCCCAGAACCCATTCGGAAATGGCTGTTTGCCTCCTCCAAACTTGGCAGCCCTCTGGCTGAATGAGCCCAGACACTGGGTATTTGGGGCCCAACTGTTCCATTTTCTCTGGCCATCCACCATCCCTGCTCCCTGGTCATCAGAACATGTCAGGGGTCATTTCATCCATTCCCCTGTCACTAAAAGACCCCAGCCCTTGTTTCAATAGTCAGGGCTCTCCCCTTCTCTCCTGAGGAGCCTCCACAGCCTGTCTTGATTACTCCCCCAACAATACATCTTTTTTGCTTTGACTCCTGCTAACGACAGTTTTAGCCCATTTTCCTTTACCCACACTGAAGTGAAGATGGAGAACAGCTGTTTGCCACCCCAAGAAGTGAGTCTCCCTCCCTCCTTCAGGTTTGACTTCAACATCATCTGGGTCACTGCAGGTGTCTGCACCCTTCAAGACTCATTCCACAAACATTAATGAAGCCCCTACCATTTACTAAGCACTTGCATCCTTCATCTCGCAGAACCCTCAAAGCAGATGAGAAACCTGAAGCTCAGAGAGATTAAGTAACTCAGGCATGGCCACACAGCGGGTAAGTGATGGAGCGGGGATTTGAATCCAGGTTTTATTCCAAAATCTCCCTTACTCTCCTGCACCAGCTGCCTCTGGCGTTGTCCTCACCTGGGCGCCGGGATCTTAAGACCCTCAGCGCTGGGAAGACGCGAGGAACACTTGACCCAGAAGGGGAGGAGGGCGTGGCCAGGACCACAAGGTCCTCCTGAGCGCGTTCCTTGTCACTTCCCAGGTTCCTGATGGGGAAACTGAGATTTCGCGAGAGCCCCGAGCCCTGTTCTGACCCCAAGATGTGCGGAGCGAAACCCCGGAGTGCAGGAGGTAGGACAGAGGGCCTGCGCCAGCGTCCAAAAGACGTGTGCCCCGGTCGGCCCCGCGCTCAGAGCGCAGCGCCGGGGCTGCGGGCACAGGCGTGCGGGAGGGGGCTGCGGACTCCCGGGCCCGGCGCTCCAGTCCGTTTTTTGCTACGGATCCCGAGAAGGGGGGCCGGCTCGGGGGTGGGACTGGAAAGGGGGGGATTCCCTCCCTCGTGCGAGCAGTGGACTGGCCCCTCTCCCAGCGGCGAGCTCCGGCCCAGCGGAGGCGCGACGGAGAGCACGAAGAGCGGGGCGCAGAGCCCGGCCCGGACGGCCAAAGTCGGACATTGCGGCTCGCGTGCTGCGGAGAGCGAGGTCCGGACCCGGCCTCCCCAGAGGACAGATGCGCCGGGTGGGGCCCCGACCCGGAGGGCGTGAGCCGCCCGCAGATTGAGCAACTTGGGAACCGGCGGGAGGAGCGCAGGCAAGCCGGGCGCCCAGGACAGTCGTGCGGCGGGCGGGTGAGCGGGCCGCACCCTCTCCCCTCCCGGGCCTGCCCCCGCCTTCTGGCAGCGCGGAGGTGAGTCCCCTCTTAGCTACCCCGTTCTCCTCCCTGGCGCCCCTTTCCCGGGACCTAGGGTGCCTTGGGCCCTCCCGTCGGGGCTTGGCCAAACTGGGTGCAGGGGGAGACAGTGAAAGGAAGGGAAGTCCGACTGCTCTCTGGTCAGCGAAGGCGGGAGAGGGCACCTCCTGAGCCCACCTCCTGTAGGTCCTGCCGCCCCCATCATCCCTCAAGCCGGTGTGCAGCCGCCTCCCCTTTGCTGCCGTGAGTCCCCCAGCCCCGCAGTCCACGGCTATCGTCCCCACTCGCAGCTCTGAATTCCCCAAGTCCACCAGCTCTATTCATCCCCATCCCATTCCAGAAGCCCTTGATCACTGGTCCCACAGCCTCGGATTCCCCGCAGTCCCACGGCCCCTGGTTCCCCCACCCCAGTCTCGCAGCCCGGGCCCGGGTCCGACGTGGCAGGAGGCGTGCGCGGCAGCCCAGGGTGTGCTGCGAGGTAGTGCGGCTCCCTTGCCGGCGGGTTGGGGCGCTCCGGAACGAATGGTATTGCTGGGTTGCGGAGAGGTCGGGGCTATGCTGGCCCGGGGCTCCCAGACTAATCTTAGAAGGCAAGGACGGATTCTGGGCGCTTGGGGCTAGGGTTCATCTCGTGACCTGGTGACTCTTTTGGATCTTGGGGGGTGGCCAGAGGGGGCACTGAGGTCTGCTTCTCCTCCCCGGCACCTGCTGGGTCTCTCCGGGATAATGGGGAGGGAAGAATTTGCGCGCTCTGGGGCGGTGACGGAGGGGAGTGAAGGCGCCTTTCTCCGCTGCCCTTGGTGTTGGGGGCGCCCAAGCACCTGGTTTGGCTCTGGCGGACAAGCTAATCCCGACAGGTCAGGCCGGCGCATACTTGATCCCGCCCCCTGCCCAGCAATTCTGCCCCTGCCCGCCCGCCAACTCAGCGGCCAGAACACTCCAGCCTGTAGCCAATCCCGGGAAGGGCTAATGAGAAATTATCGGGATGGTTTACATAGTTGGGTCTGTATCCGGCCCCAGACAGAATACCAATTTATCCTGATAGTGTTTCGGGCCAGAAGGTGAAAGTTACTCCAGCCCTCTGCTGGGACTGAGGCCTCGCCCTCAGCTTCACCCCCAGCTGTGTCCTGCGCCCACCGCGTGTCCTCCCCTCCCCCGACCACCTAGCACGTGGGGCCTCCCCCTTGGTCTCCCTCGCCAGCTCTGCCTCTGTGCCGACTCCTTCCCCACCTCTCCGGGTCCCTTCCCAAAGGCCAGTCAGGCCCCACATCCCCCAGCTCCCTGCCCCTTGTCCTACCGTTTAGACACCCAGTCCTGGGAAGCAAACCCACTGGCCACTGACTAGGTCTGTAACCCCAAGACCTGGGCCCTCCTACCGCCAGGTGACTCCCTCTGTAAAACGGGATGATTCTACCTTCCTCCTAGAGTTGGGAGGAATAAAGGAGGGCCTAGCACCTGGCAGGTGGTGTGAGTCACCAAATGAATGTGAATCCCTCACCCCTTCCTTATCCCCACCAATGCCTGAGGCCTTGATCACTGCCAGCAGTTCCCAGTCCCAACTCTGTGTAGAGTCATGGGCCTCCAGAAATGAGCCTCGGTGCCATATAGCCCAAGGCCCAAAGGAAACCGCACAGGGAGCAATAGAAATGAGGCAGGCTATTTAAAAGAAAGGCATCAGTTTCTATCCCCTCTTAGCCCTAGACCTTATGTGGGGTGTGTGGTGGATGGGGAGGAGCCTCTGAGGCAGGGACCTGTGGCCTCTGGGGCTTGGTACTGTAGGGCTTCTAGTCAGAGACTTGTCCAGCATTTAAAATCAGATTTCCCATAAAATTCTGAATTTTCAACTTTTTTTTTCCTAAAAAATCAGAAGATCTGGCAGTATTGAGCCTGTTTTTCCTGCCTGTCAACAGTCAGCTGGAGTTGAATAGCGTATGCCCCCTTTAGATGGGACATTTGCCCTCCAATTTGCCACTTCTGAATCCAGCTTCACTCAGATTTGTTGCTTGTACCCCCTGGTAAAGATACATCTGTAGCTCCTTTTCAGGATTGATTCTATATTTTTAAAAAAGTGTTTGAAACTCTTCTCACCCCAGAGGTGAGGGAGGCCAATGCCATTTGATCTGGATCTTCCTTCCCCTTTTCCAGCTGAGCTTGTGGTTCCATGGAGATTCTAGCAGGAGCGGGTCAGAAGATCTTTGCTGGCGAGGACTGGGTGAATGTGGGCAGTGCTGAAAGCTAAGAGCTGGGAGAATTGCGGGGGGTGGGGAGGAGATGGGGAGAAGAGGGGTTAAAGGGGAAGAGAGGGAGGGAAAGGAAGAAAGCTACCATTTGCTGAGTACTAACCCCGATGTGCCAGGCACTGTGCCCAACGGGCACGAGGGGAGCAAGATGAATAGGAGACCTTTTCTGCCCCAAGGGCCCCAGGGAAACTGATCACTCAGTGAGACCAAAGTCTCTCAGTCCCAGGACTTGAGGCCAGATTTGCCTGCTGGGTTTTCTTCTCTATGTTGGTCAAATGTAAGGACTCACAGAACCCTGAGAATGTGTCTTCCAGGGGTCCTCAAACCTCAGTTTGAGAAATGCTACATTTAAAGGCAAACCCTATCATTTTGAATGATCACTTGGATGGCAAGGCAATCAACCATAAAGATAAATGCAAATATGGAAATCGCATAACAGTTCTCAGTATTAAAGTTAGTAATCAGATGATTGCAGAAAATGTTTATGTTGCTTTTAGATGACCATTGGAATGTAGACACAGAATGAAGCCTTGGTCATAGAAAATACAGCTAATAACTAGCAGAGCCAACATTCAAAGCCAGGCAGTCTGTCTCTGAAGTTTATGCCCTTAACCACCATGTGAGACAGACCTCTGAGGCTACATCCTAGGGGCCAAAGATCCCAGTTTGAGAAACTTGGCTGGACGTCCACAATTTGTGGGTGATGGAAGTGTGTGTTGGGGGCTGGGGAGGATGGGAAACTTTGGCAGGTCATGCAGGGAGTACTGGAGGGGTGTGTAGGGGTTGGCAACTGACGGGGCATTTGGGGGTGACTGGGGGGCATCTCTGCTGGCTCCAGCCGCAGCACCAGGTGGGATCCATCAGCCTCGTGTAAACACTTCTCACAGGCAGCTTAACCACTTGAGTGTGTCTGGCCTTCAAAGCCAGTGGGAGAAGCTGAGGAGGAGGTGCTGAACTCCCCTGTGGGATAATGATTTATCTCCCCTGCAGGTGGGCTTGACTGGGGCCAGGATGAGAGGTGAGGGGGTGGGCTGGGCCCTGGGGAGCCTAGAGGGGAAAGGATTGGGACAGGAGTGAGGCATCTCCACTCCAGCATTTCAGATTTCTTCTTTGTAAGTCAGAACTCATCTGACTTAGAGCAATCCTGTGACATTGGCATATTTTATCCCCATTTTATAGATGAGGGCACTGAGGCTCAGACAGGTTAAATGCCATGTCCAAAATCACACTGCCCATGTAGGTTCCCATGCTACAGACCTGAAGGCTCCCTGTTTCCCCCTCGGGGATGCCTCGTGTGCCTGTGTGAGCTTGGGGATGTGTTGTGAAGGCATGTGGGTTGATGCATGGGCAGGCCTCTGTTGTGACACTGCATTGGAGGCTTCGGAGCATGAGTGTGTGGCCCTGTGAGTTTGGATGAGTGTAAAATGGGGTTTTCATCCTCTGACTCCCAGGTTGGGCTCCAAGGCTCAGACATCCAACTTCCCAGACACATCTCATGGGGAGAGGGACCAGCTCCCGCTGTGCCCATCATCCCGGCTGGCCAGCGGGTCCAGAGACCTGGCTCTCGCTAGGCTGGGGGATTATCCCCATTCTCTGTGTCTCTGGCCAGGGCGGGCATCACTGCCTCTTTTATCCTCTGACAAAGGCCTGGCCCGCCAGGCCTGCTGTGTCAGAGTTTCTGAGGCCAGGGGAAACCTTACTTCCTTTCCTCCTGCCAAATCCAGAGGGCCATGCAGAGTCTGCCAGCTTGCCAGGGACCACTGCTGTAGCTCTAGAACAGGTGAAAGCCACAGGGGTGACTCAGCAGTGGGAAGAGAAGGCTGGGTGATCACTCAGAGAAGGCCAGAGAAAGCTCCTCTTGAAGAGAGAGGATTTTATTCAGCATGAGGTCTATAGGGTAGACTTAAAGAAGGACTTCCAGTCAGAACTGGCTGATATTATGCAGGGGTAGGACCAGCTGGTTCCCATTATTGAGAATCCACCAGTGATCCACAAGCTTTGGTTTGAGTGTTCACCACATTGAGCTGGTCAGGTGGCCGGCACCAGTCCCAGGTTGGGGAAATGTGGAAGATAGGAAGATAGGAAAAGAAACAGATTTCTTTCTGCAGGGGTGCCAGGTGGGTAACTTGTAATGTCCAAACATTCTGAGTTCTCATACTTTGCCGAGGAGGGGGGGCCACAATGGGAGGGCAGGAAGCATAGATTAGAGGGACCCCACAGCACTACAGAATTAATCCTTCTCTCTCTTCCCCCCAACAGGTTGGTTTTTGGAGTGGTGGCTGCTGAAGTGACAAGGCATTTTCCCATGTGACACCCTGAGGTGCCTTTGAGGAAAGCTCTCCAGACCTCCCTATGGGCTGATGGAGAACTGGGCTCCCCACACCCCATCTGTCCCCAGCTGAGATTATGGTGGATTTGGGATCTGGCCCAGGCCTGGGCCTTCTGCTGCTGACCCAGCCCCGGAGGCGTTAGTGAGAGCCCTGCCCTGTCCGCCCACCAGAGACCACCCCTCCTCCCAGGGGCCCAGAGCTGGCGAGTGACTATGCGGCTTGGGCTGTGTGTGGTGGCCCTGGTTCTGAGCTGGATGCATCTCACTGCCGGCAGCCGGGGGATCAAGGGGAAGAGGCAGAGGCGGAGTGAGTAACGGGGTGGAGCTGGACTGCTGCTGACCTTAGGGGTGGGAGGGGGCTGCCTGGGGACCAGAGGGCCTTTTGCTTTTCTCCCATGATGACCAGCTACAGATTTCTACTTTGTCTGTTACAGTTTTGTAGATCATTCAATGGATGATCCAGTTTGTAGACTGATTTGAGATCACTCACTTTGTTTCCCCTTTGTAGACTCTGCTTTCTAGATTAACCACTCTCTTGTGAGGATCCAGTTGTGGATTATGCCCTTTGACATAATACCAGTGTTGTATGGTATCCATGGTGATGCTTGCTGCCCAGCCCCCCCTGCCCAGCATGCTTGGTTTCCTCCTCACTGACAGTGGAGTTCAGGGCTCCTTCCTTTAACGGTGGCTGAAGTGCAGCCCTCGCCCCCCTGGGCTGGGAACTCTGCACAGCTGGGCGGTGGGCAATAAGACTTCCCCCGCTCAGGTCTTGGGGCAAGAACAGTGGAGCCGGGGGGGTGCGGCTTGGGACTGTCCATCCTGTGGTATTGAAACGATGCCCAGTGACATCCAGGGAGCTGTGGTGGGGGTGGAGGGGAGGCACGTGGGCAGGAGGTTGGCCCTACCACCCTTCAAACCAGAGCGACTTCATTTTACCTGCTTTCAGTAATGAGCTTCCACGTAAAATGTCATGGAAGAAAGGTTCTCACAACTTAAGAAAAAAAAATTAAATCCTGTCATTTTACAGATGAGGAAACTGAGGCAAAGAAAGAGGGAAGAAATAAGCCTAACCACACACAGTCATTATAGAACTCAGGTCTCCTAATTCCTGTGAGCCCAGTTTTCTTGAAAACAAAGCTTGACAGAGTTCAAGATTAACCTGTCCCTGCCCCATTCCCTGTGCCCCACAAAATCCCAGCCTAGGCACTCCTGACCTAAAGCCCTCTAGCCTCGCTGAATGGCTCCAGTGATGAGTCTCCCCAGCGCACTGTCGTGTGGTAAAACTAGCCCTACGGTGAGCGAGCCTGCCGGGGAGTGGGCTGGAAGCCTGTGCTGCAGACCGTGTGCTCTAGATCACCAGGCCGTGTCTCTCTCAGCGTCCCCCATAAAGAGATAGCACTCCCACAGGCAAGAAGTTCAGACTTAAGTCTAGCCGAACTACCTCTTGCTTAATTTTTTAGGCTTTTCTGTTTGAGCCAAGGCCTCCTGGTAACAGTTGAAAGGCAATGGGGTTTGGTTGAGTCCCCACTGGAGCAGTCAAAGCCAGGACTCAGGCCCAGGGAAAGAAGCTCAGAGAATTGGTGAAGCTGAAAATCCCTGGCTTAACAAACAATTAGAGACAGTTAGGTTTAATCAGCAGCAAGGCCTTGATTTTCCTCCCGTCTCATCTGCTGGGGCCAGTATTTTGGACTCCATGGGCCAGATGTGGTTTAGCAGTTTGTAATCAGTCTCTTCTATTTCCGAGATGAGAGAGTTACTGAGAGGAGCCGCTCACACTCACACAACACACACTTGTGGTCACACTCACTCACGCTCACACATGTAGAGCTACACGTGCACCTAACCCAGGGGTCAGAAGACCTGGGTTCAAGTCTGTTGTACAAAAAACAGGATGAGACTAGCCATCAGAAAGGGCCTGGTTCCAGCAAGGCCACCAAAGTAGCCGATCTGATGCAGCAATTTTGATGTGCCCACTTTTGATACGGTCACATCCAACAGCCTCTGCGGTGCATAAACTACAAGCCATGTGAGCAGCAGATGTCCTTGTGGGTGAGACTTGAGGATGGGGTGCAGTGAAGGTCCAAAAGGGAGCGAGGCTCAGGGAGGGATGGAGGTATACGCTGGTTAAAAAAAAAACAAAAACCAAACCCGTTGCCATTGAGTTGATTCCGACTCATAGCGACCCTATAGGACAGAGTAGAACTGCCCCCATAGGGTTTCCAAGGAGCACTTGGTGGATTCAAACTGCCGACCTTTTGGTTAGCAGCCATTGCTCTTAATCACTATGCCACCAGGGTTTCCAGTAGGCCACATTTATTAAATAATAATCACAATAAGCATAATCATAAAGCTGAAAATGTAACTGTACAGAATATAGTAAGGCTTACATCAGATAGTGGAGCTATGTCTATATATGTTGTTGTGTGCCTTCAAGTTGATTCCGACTCATAGCGACCCTATAGGACAGAGTAGAACTGCCCCATAGGGTTTCCTAGGCTGTAATCTTTACAGGAGCAGATTGCCAGGTCTTTTTTCCCGTGGAGCAGCTGGTGAGTTCGAACCACCGACCTTATGGTTACTAGCCGAGCACTTAACCATTGCACCACTAGAGCTTGTACATGCCCAGTCTTGCTCTCAGGCGCTTGCTTATGCGCTCACTCTCGTTCTCTCTCGCTGTATTAAAACCTTTTGTAAAATATCAAGCCCTGTATAAACTTAGGGATGTGTAGATTGTTCTATAAAAAGAGTGTGAACCATTTTGCCCCAGGGTTTTCAGTGGAGTGGTGAAGGGAAGAAGGAGCATGGGGGTACCTGTGGTGGCTGCTCTGGCCTTCTCCCCTCACCTGCCACCATGCAGAAGGGCTGGGCAGGTGGGGGCAGAGGTGGCCTTGCTGGGGGTGTGAGCTTCAGGCCTGTAGACTCTGCCCAGCATCCAGCATCTACATGTCTGTAGGGCCCCAGAAGCCACCAACATAGTTCTGACCTGAGCCCTAGACTAGTTCTGAGCTAAGAAATGGCTGGTCTCAGGGTCTGAGTGATGGGCTCCCTGCATGGAGGGGAAGAAGAAGTTGAGCAAAGAACATCTCTTTATTTTAGGTGCTTTAGGTGAAAGTTTACAGAGCAAATTAGAAGAGCATATCTTTAGCTGTGTGTTATGAACCCTGGCAAGGTGTCCTCCTGTGCTCGTTGAGGACCCACCCCCTCTATGAGCCCCGCTTCACTCACCAAGCCCCTTCCCGGCTCACTAAGCCCTCACAACCACCTTTCCTCACCTCATTCCCATCCCTCACTGAAGTCTTGTTCCCTCACCATCCCTTGCATCGAGTCCTCCATCCCTGTACAGCCTTACAGAGACCCTTCTCCTGTCTGATTTCTGGGCCCCCTCACTCAGTGCTGTCCCCACACCTTTACTCCAGAAGCCGAGGCCCCCTATTGTGCCCTCCTCACTGCCCCCACCGTCCATCGGGAGCCTCCATGGCTTCCCGCGCTGACAGCCCTTGCAGTCTCTCTTCTCCCTGAGCCCTCACTCATTCCTTGGGTTATTCAATGAATGTTCATTGAGAACCTAGAGAACCTGGCCCTGGATCCCAGAGATGAATCTTGGTGAGCCTGTGGCCAAGGGGGGAAAGAGACAATTTCAGTCTAATGTGATGAATGCAGTGGCAGGAGGAACCTGGGGGACTGTGCGAGCCCAGAAGGGGTGACTCCTGAGTTGTATTTTCAAGGATGAGTGGTGATCTCCTATCAAGGTAGGAGGAGGAGGGTGAGGGGAAGGGCATTCCAAGCAGAGGGAATAGTGTGTCTAAAGCCATGGGGTTTTTTGTTCAGGAAGTGGGCTATAGCTAGGAGTCACTGGAAAAACTATTTATAAATGAAATTCTAGGGAGCCCTAGGGTTTTAAATGGAGCAGCTGTTTTATATATTGGGAATCTTTTCTTTTAAAAAGAAGGGTTCTTCTGCTAAAACAAAAAGCCGTGAGGCTAGAGTAATGAAAGCTGCCTGGGCCGAGGAAATGGCCTTGGGGAACTTGCAGGAGATGGTGCTGTAGTAGGGGATAGAGGGCAGAGCATCAGGCACTCTGTATTTGCCTGGCTGAGGGGTTTGAACTTGACCTGACTTGATCTGTGGGATCCAGGAGCCACTGAGAGGTTTTAATCAGGCCAGCAGCCTGGCCTGGTCTCAGGGGTTGGCCGCAGGAGGCAAAAAGACTAGTTAAAAGGCTATTATGGCCGAGGTGAGAAAAAAATGAAGGTTTATGCTAAGCTCAGGGGTTAGTGGTGGTTCAGCGGTAGAATTTTTGCCTTCCATGTGGGAAATCCGGGTTCAAGTCCCAGCCAGTGCACCTCGTGCAGCCACTGCCCATCTGTCAGTGGAGGTTGGTGTGTTGCTATGATGAACAGGTTTCTGCAGAGTTTCCAGACTTAGACTAGAAGAAAAGCCTGGAAATCTACTTCCAAAAATCATAACGGTCCAATATGCAACTGGACCGTTTTGTTCCATTGTTTATAGGGTCACTGTGAGTTGGGGACCAACTTGACAGTAGCTAACAACAACAAACCAAGCTCATGGTTGAGTTAGAGAACCCTGGATCTTCCAGGGGCATGCCCAGGGCTTGTTGAACATGCAGGAGTCTACCCAGGTCACAAGGAAGCCACGAGAAGACACATCTCCTGGGAGGGTGCATAGCCTTACTAAGGTCCCTTTCACTGTCCCCTGTCTGGACAACTAAACTCAGGTCTCTGACCATATCTAGTTTCTCTGAGGCTAGATACCACCCCCAAAACAAGGATATTACTCCTCTGGGTCATGGAAAGTTCCTGGCCTCCTCCCCACTGACCTAGCTCACTCCAACACCCACCCACCCCCCGCCCCAGTTCCATATCCAATACCATGCCCCGCATCTTAGGAAAGCTCATTGAGCTCCATCTATATACCCAACCTCCCTGAACGTGTCTCACCACATCCTCTCCCCTACATGCTGGTGGAGCCCTCTCCCTCCTGGGGAGCTTCATCCCCTCACTGGTCTCCAATTCAGAAATGAGACAGGCTCTGCCCTCCAAAGCTCTTTCTAGTGGGAGAAAAAAATGTATTTACAGACATGAGGTGACATCTACCATGATGGATTCAAGTACTGAGGGTGTTGAAACCCTGAGAAAAATACTCCATGCAGACTTTGCAGGGAGGCAAGATCACGGAAGGTTTCATGGAGGAGGCAGCTTTTGTTCAGAGGCTTGAAGGAGTTAACCAGGCTCAGAAGGAGGTGGAGAATCTTCTAGGCAGAAGGACCAGCTTATGAATCTTTCAGGC